CCAGCTCCAGCACCTGCAGCACCACCAGCTCCAGCAGCTCCAGGACCTCTAGCACCTCCAGCAGCTCCAGCAGCTCCAGCACCAGCAGCAGCAGCAGCTCCACCAGCTCCAGCAGCTCCAGTACCTCCAGCACCAGCAGCACCACCAGCTCCAGCAGCTCCAGTACCTCCAGTACGAGCACCTCCGAGAACAGCAGCTCCAGCACCTCCAGCACCTCCAGCAGCAGCAGCAGCAGCAGCACCACCAGCTCTAGTACCTCCAGTACGAGCACCTCCGGGACCAGCGGCTCCAGCACCTTCAGTAGCAGCAGCACCACTAGCTCCAGCAGCTCCAGTACATCCAGTACGAGCACCTCCGGGACCAGCAGCTCCAGCAGCAGTAGCACTACCAGCTCCAGCAGCTCCAGAACCTCTAGCACGAGCACCTCTAGAACCACTAGCTCCAGCACCTCCAGTACCTCCAGCACCTCCAGCACCAGCTGCACCACCAGCTCCGGTAGCTCCAGCGCCTCCAGCACGAGCACCCCCGGGACCAGCAGTGCCAGCACCACCTGTACCTCCAGCACCAGCAACACCTGTGCCTCCAGCTCCAGCAGCGCAACTCCGAAGGCGGGTGCGCCAAGCGTACCACTCGCGCAGCTGCTCTGGTCAGAGAGGCTCCCGCCGGCTAAACCGCTGGGGCGAGGCCCCAGTAGGACCTCTTGGACTAGTAGCTCCAGCACCCAGAGTACCTCCAGTACCAGCAATTCCTCGAGCACCTCCAGGACTAGCAGCTCCAGGGCCTCCAGCTCCAGCAGCGCCACTCCGAAGGCGGGTGCGCCGAGTGTACCACTCACGCAGCTGCTGTGGTGAGAGAGGCTCCCGTAGTGTAGACGGAGTACCCCTAGGCTCAGAACCCCCAGACTCAGCACCTCCAGGCTCAGCACCCCCAGGCTCCGCACGCTCAGACGCAGCTCCCCCAGGCTCCAAACCCGCAGGCTCAGCACCCCCAGGCTCCGCACGCTCAGGCTCAGCACCCACGGGCTCCGCACTCCAAAGGCTCAGCACCTCTAGGCTCCAAACGCTCAGGCTCCGCAACCGCAGGCTTAGCACCCCCAGACGCAGCACCCCGAGCAGCACCAGAGTCACCAGTGACCTCGACAGGCTCAACCAAGGGGAGTGGGTCTACCTGAGACACACCTGAAGGAGCAGGACCCTGAGGGGGGAGGGGGTCTACCGGATGGGGACCTGGAGCGAGGAAGAGCGGCGGGGGGGGGAGAGGGGTAGTGCGGCAGGGGAAGAGACGGTAAAAGGGAACCGACTCGTCAAACGTGACATCCTGAGAGGGCAGGACACTGCGCGAGGTGGGGTGGTAAAACTGCCAGCCAGCCGCATCAGGGGGAAAGCCAAGGAAGACGCATGGAGTGGCGCGGGAGGAGAGCTTGTCCGCGGAGGTATCGCGGACAAAGGCACTACAGCCCCAGACCCGGAACACCGACGCATCGCCAACCTCTCCCGTCCAACGCAGTGTAGGCGAGGTCTCCGGCAAGGAGACACGTGGCCAGAGGTTGAGCTGATGCGCAGCGTACCAGACTGCAAACGGCCACAGAAAATGGGGAGCAGCCACATGGATCATGGAGGTACGAGCGACCTCCATGACTAAGCCAATGCAGCGCTCAGCAACCCCATTCTGCTGCGGAGAGGCCGGAAGCGTGAACGACAAAAGTCCCGCAAGAGGTCGGAGGAAAACTCACCATCTCTGTCAGAGTGCAGACGCAGGACAGAAAGGTCAGTGTCGAACCGCTCGCGGAGCTGGAGTCGGACAGCGCGGATCCAAGGGATCTAGACATCAAAGACCACCCCCTTGCTGCGCAAGGGGAAGACCATGGTGTTACGCGAGTAGTCGTCAACAACCATCAGAAAGTATCGCTCGCGGCCCTGTCCCTGGACGTGGGCTGGGCCCCACACGTCCATGTGGAGAGTCTGCAGGGGAGCAGTCGTCGGAGGAAACGAGGAGGAGTAAGGGGCGGCGCGCTGCCGCCCCTCGACACAAGGAAGGCAGGGAGGGGCAGGGGAGGGTGGGAGGGGAGGCAGAGACCTGGGAAGACCCTTGACAGGGAGGCGGGAGTGCATGCCATAGAGGCGTGGCAGGGAGGGGTGACCAAGGCGGTGGAGCCAGATGAGAGTCTGGTGCGACAGGAGGCGACACGAACAGGGGGCTGCTAGCTGACCTGACGCGGACGCAGACGCAGCTATCTGAGGAGGCTCAGTGGTCAGTGGGTACAGACTCGACCCAGGCCGATGCGTGAACGTGGCGAGGTGAGGGCCCGTCCGTGCACACGAGCAGATCGCCACACGATGTCCTCCAGGGGTAGAGTTGTTAACCCATTCCTCCTGAAGGACGGCGTTGCTCACCAAGTTCATCGAGAATGAGGGGAGGTGAAGACCTGACAGTGAGCCAGATGGAACCGACACAGGAGAACAGTGGAGGAACATGCAAGAACCGGTCCCCCAGAGGGGTTGGCCAGAGAGACTGCAACCGGTGATGCGAGTGGTGTGACTGTGGTGCTGTCGCGAAAGAAGCAGCGGGAAGCACCTGAGTCAAGCGTGAAGGTGTGCAAGGCCTCAACAGTCGCAGTACCAGAGAGAGCAGACTCACTAGCACCTAGAGCAGCAGCCTCTAGACAAGGGTCGGGGGGCACACACAGGTAACAGTCACCCTCAGTACCAATAGTCAAAGCATACATGGTAGTGAGGATAGCGTCATAGTCTAGAGCAAAGTTATCCACACCCTGCCTAAGCAGCTCTAGCCAGCCGGGGAGCTCAGCCGCGTCGCCAAACTCTGCGCGCCAGGCGTCGCTCAGACACGAGAAGCAGCGGGACAGTTTGTGACCAACTATCCCGCAAGTCTGACCAGCCCGAGCACTGCTACTATGGCCGCCACCACTCCCATTACGGCCGCCACCGCCGCCACCACTCCCACCGCTACCGTGAAGAGAAGTCATGCGACCAGCAGGGCAGCACGCAGGGAAGGCAGGGCGGCGAGGAGGCAATAGGGTAGGCCGGGACGGTGCATGGTCAGGGAAGGGCGGCGCGCGGCCAGAGAAGGGCGGCGCGCGGACATTCAGGGGCGGCACGCGGCCAGCAGGGCGGCGCGTGGGGCTGCAAGAGGGGGGGGGGGGGGAGCGCGCGGGCTGCAAGGGCGGCGCGCGGGCTGCAAGGGCGGCGCGCGGGCTGCAGAGGGCAGCGCACTGCCAGCAGAGCGGAGCGCTGGCTGCAGACGGGCGGCGCACGGCTGCAAGGGGCGGCGCGCGGGTGGCGTGCGCGGTGCGGCGCGACGCGGGGCAGGCACGGGCGGCGCGCAGGCAGGCAGGGGCGGCGCACGGGGAGGCAGGGCAGACGGGCAACGCGGTGGGCTGGGGCAGCCCGCACGGGCGACGCGACAAACAGGGGCAGGGCGGACGGGCGACGCGACGGGCTGGGGCAGCCCGCACGAGCGACGCGACGGGCAGGCAGGGCGGACGGGTGACGCGACGGGCTGGGGCAGCCCGCATGGGCGACTCGACGGGCACGCAGGGCGGACGGGCGACGCGACGGGCTGGGGCAGCCCGCACGGGCGACGCGACGGGCAGGGGCAGGGCGGACGGGCGAAGCGATGGGCTGGGGCAGCCCGCACGGGCGACGCGACGGGCAGCAGGGGCGCAAGGGCGGCACGACGCAACGGGCAGCAGGGGCGCACGGCGCGACGGGCAGCAGGGGCGCGCGACGCGACGGGCTGCAGGGGCGCGCGACGCGAGGCAGGGCAGGGCGTGCGCGGGGCAGGGCAGAGCGTGTGCGGGGCAGCGCGACGTGGGGCAGCGCGACGCGGGGCAGGGCAGGGCGTGTGCGGGGCAGCGTGACGCGGGGCAGGGCAGGGCGTGCGCAGGGCAGCGCGACGGGGGTCAGGTCAGGGCGTGCGCGGAGCAGCGCGACGCGGGGCAGGGCGTGCACGGGCAGTGTGACGCAAGGTAGGGTAGGGTAGGGTGCGCACTGACGGCGCAGCGCAGGGCAGGGCTTGGGGTAGCGCGGTAACCGCAGTCAGTCACTAGGTAATGGTGGGCAAGCTGTTGTGTCGTGACACATAAGGCGTCTCCGAGGTGATGGTTATAAGTGCTTTGGTTGGGGCTTGTGCTGGTGCTTGTGTAGGAGCGTTCGCCGTCAATTGCTGAAGCGAGTCGCGCTCCGCCGTCCATGTGGCGATTTCAAAAGCCGGTTCGTGCAGTTGGCGAGTAATTCCGTCGAGGCGCTTCTGAGTCAGGCCTTCTAGCGGAATGAGGGCGTCCATGCGGGGAGCGTTAGGCTGGCTCACTTGTACGGTAGTCTCAGTCGTGGCTATGTGTGCTTATGAGATAGCACACGACCAGCGGCACAGGGTGCATTGATAATGCGTCTACCCTCCCTCCCCCCCCCCCCCCCCCCCCTCCCTCCCCCCCGCCCCTCCCCCCCACGAAAAAATATGATAAGTTGGGAAGCGAAGGTGTGCGCTCTTCGAAAAGGGTCGCGACTCTGAATATCACGTGTTACTGGTGCAATTGAGTGACCCAGCAAGAATTGCACCATCGAATCAATCAATAAAATGAGCAAAGGTATGCGCGAATTGCTATATAGCGAAAGCGTTTCGGCAACGGGAACGTGCTCGCAAAAGGGTGCTGTACGGGCCTGATGCTGAGGTCAGGAAATGTCGAGGCGAAGGACCGGGATGGTTTGGGTGCGAGGGTCGTGGTGGCGGGAACAGTGTCTAGGCGTGTGTGGCGATGTGGTAACGGGCTACTGCTGGGTGTACAGTGGCGGGAACTGTCGTGTCGCGACGCAAGGAGAAGTTGTTTCCTTACATTTAGAGTGGTATGGTAGTGTAATTTGAAGAATACGTACTTGTAGGACACGCCAGAATGAGCAGCAGCAGCAGCATGGGATATCACTGGAGCTGCAGGGCCAGCTGGGCAGAATGAGCAGCGGCAGCAGCAGCATGGGATATCAGATCAGCTGCAGGTGAAGCTGCGGCAGTACCACACGTACCGCCGCGAGTGCCTCCACCGCGAGCCCCTCGACCTCCTGCGCTCCACCCTGCTGGCCGGCAAGCCCACCGCCTGCCGCTACCTCATCTACTACCACTCCTCCGACGGCCAGGGCAACCGGATTCTCTCACTCGTTTCTTCCTTTGCCTACGCGCTGCTGACCGATCGGATCTGCCTGTTGAGCTCTAAGAGTGGGCCCGCTGCTGTGCTGTGTGAACCGTTTGAGCATGGCGAGTCGTGGGTGCTGTTTGGGCGCGAGGAGAAGCTGGAGGAGCATCATGCGCAGGTGCTGCGAGTGAAGGTGGCCAGGGAGTGGCGGGAGGTGAGGCAGGGGAGGGAGAAGATGGGGAAGAAGGGAGGTGGGCGGAGGAGGCTGGTGGAAGGGTTGGTGCAACGGCAAGAGCAATGGTTAGGGGAATGGCAAGAGCAGTTGGGAGGGGAGCGGCATTTGCTGCAAAACATAAATCCAAACACGCCAGCCCCACCATCACCACCAACAGCGCCGCTACCACCACCACCACCACCGCCATTAGCAGCAACAGTTTTGGCACCCGCCTCTCCAATGTTTCCTCCCTTAATGCCCCCATCACTTCAATCACCACCCGTACCTCCCCCTCCCCCTGCACCCCCACCCCCACCGATTCTTCGCATGCCATTCCCACCACTGCCAACCACTGCACTGCCACCACCACCAACAATGCCACCAACGCCATTTCCAACGCCACCACCAGCAGAGGCAGCTGCAGTAGCACGCCCCCCACCCCCTGCAGCAGCACCACCCCCTCCCCCAACCCCACCACCACCCTTACCTCCTCCTCCTCCCCCCCCACTATCCAAAACGCCAGCAGAAGGGGAGGACGAAGTACCACCAATGTATGACATCCATTCCATTGCCATCCCATGCTGTTCCATGCCATGTCATGACATACCATGTCATACCACTGTGTGTGCCATGTCCATGTGTGTATGCCATGACCATGTGTGTGTGCGATGCCCATGTGTCTGTATGATTGCCATGTCAATTCATGGTAGTGCCATGCCATGACTCAATGCAATGCCATCACTCAACACCCCTCTCTCCACGTTCTTGTCTCTCCGCCCCCTCCCTGCCTCTGATCAGCCCCCCACAATCCCATCTCCCACACTCTCCTATCCCCCCCTTCGTGACTCCATCTCATCTGTTCTCTTTCCCATCTCAATCCCCCACAAAAGAACCCCCCTATTCCTCCGTCGCCCCCATCCCTCCCACGCTCCCCCATTTCCTCCGTCATGAGTCCCTTCTCCATTTCCCTCTCATCCCCCCCACGTAACCCCTCGTATCCTCTCCCCCTCCCCTCCATACACTCCAGCTTTGCCGTCGTCTGCCTCTCCGCCACTAGCCCTCTCCCGCTCACTTCCTTCCCCATTCCCCCCAACCCCAACAATCCCCCTCACCCTTCCCCCAGTCTAAAGGTGAACATATTTCACACAACCTCTCGATCCGGTCAACTCTTTTTCTGTGAATCCGAGCAGCAATGGCTCTCCCACACCCCCACGCTTCTCCTCTCTTCCAACCAATATTTTCTCCCCGCCCTCTACCTCCTCCCCTCGTTCCGACGCCGCCTCATCCTCCTCTTCCCCTCCCACCAGCCCTTCCGATCCCTCGCCCGCCTCCTCCTCTTCCCCCGCAACCGCATCTGGGCGCAACTCACCCACCGCTTCCACTCCCTCATCACCCCCGCGCACGCGCGCATCGGTCTGCAGGGCCGCTTCCCCACGCACGTGAACGAAGGTCGACTGCGGTATGACACGGTGAACATGGGTCGGTGCCTGTTGGATGCTCTCAACTCGTCGATCCTGCAGGAGGCCAGGGAGATGCGACTTGGGCCAGAGGGAGGAGAGGGCGGGGGAGGGAGGGGAGTGGGCGACGGAATCGGGGTAGCTAAAAGAGGGGAGTTGGGGAGAATTTTTGCTAGCAATGGCAGCAGCAGTGGCGGCGGTGGCAGTGGGGATGACTATGGGTTAGAGGAGTTATCAGGAAATGTGACAGAGGTATTGGTGGCATCTTTGAACGCTGCTCTCGTGCATCACCTATAAGATGCAGTGACAGGCAACATGAGTGCAGTGCGAGTGAGTGTGGGGCATGACGTCACACATGCTGCCATGGGTGTGAAACTACCGCCCATCAACACCACCTCTGCTGGTTCTCCTTCTATTGCGTCTCCCGCTACTGCTCCTGTGCCCACGTCTCCAGATGCAGCCAGCAGCAGCAGCGGTGGCACATTAGACGCCCACGTGCACATAGTCCAGCTGACGATCGACGAGAAGCAGAACAATGGCGACAAGGCCGGAGTGGACCGAGCAATGGTGGACATCTACACGCTCGCGCTCTTCTCCGACGCCCTCATCATCTCCGAGGTCTCCACCTTCGGCTACCTCTGCGCCTCACTCTTCGGCGTGCCCCGCATCACGTTCGTCAGTGCCATGTGCAAGCGAGTGCCGCCCGAGCCGTGTCTGCACTTCCCTCCGGGGAACGAGCACTGTCCGGACGGGCAGGCGCGGGTGCTGGAGCAGGTGTTGGCTCAGGACCCGCATGTGCCGCTCATGCACTGCGTGGATGTGAGAAATGGGCTCACATTCAAGCCTCTTGAAGGGTGGGAGTAGGGCTCCTGAGTAGGGTTGGATCTAGATGAGCTTGCGCCTGAAGTGTCGCTGTGCTATAATGCCGGCTAATTGCAAAATTAAGTAGTTGAACTCTCGGAGGTTCTGCGGTTTTATTCATTCATTCCAACTCATGCGGTATCGCGTTAGGGAATAAATTCAGCAAAAAATATGTTTTTACTATATGCGGGGGACTGTGGTACAACGTACACCATCTGTTACGGGAGAAATTGAATGAGCGAGAAAAAACTGAACTATGGAGGCAAAACAATACAATGAGCGAATGCATGAGCGAATTGTTATACAGTAGCGAAAACAATGGTAACGTAACGAGTCAGGGCTTTTTTTGGGTTGAGAAGCAACCTATTACGTTCGTTATGTACATTTTTTTTCGTCCTCTATTTATTTACAAAGAAAATGACGCAAAAAACTTGCCATTAGAGCCCACCACGTGGTATGGAACTATTATATTTCTTCCAATAACTTTGTTGGCCAGGCTCTTCGTATGTATGAATTAAGTTCCCTTCTGATGTTATTCTAAACATGCAACTGTATATTCTGTAATGCATACGCAGTTATAATGCATAAATGTATGAATGCATACATGAGGTTGGAATGCATGCATAACAATGGATATAGTGAGCCAAACATTGAATGATAATGCTTAGATATGATGTATATGCTATAGTTGTATGAGTAGTATATGCTTATATGTACTGTACCAATGTTGTGAATACGTAAGATGATTGAAATGCGTGATAGTTAGTTGACCCATACACTAGGCTACCGCATCCCCTGCCTAGCATGGGGGGAAAATCAAAAGCTTAGCGTATGAATAATCCAACAGTCACATGAAACAACACAATCTGTGATTTTAAAAAAATGTCAATTCCATCAAATCCAGTTCGAATGGACACAATCACTGAGTGCGCAACGAACCTTCTCGGACATGATAGTTTGATCCCAATTTTTAAACCTCACAGACATGTGTTATTAATGCAATGGAAACATAAATGAAAGCACATACGCATACAACACAACGCATACCCACACAAATTAAAGAGACACACACCTATTAATATCTTTCATATCTCTCACACGCATTGTTCTCACGCTCGCGTAAGTCTGTACTCGTTTTCATAATCTGTTCAAATGTATAATAATTAACCCATCAAAATTAACTCTATAAGCCCCTATGAGCATCTTCTCCGTGTCAGAACATCATAGCTCATGCATATTGTGTAGGCTATAGTGGGGTAGCCCACAAGGGGTACAACCCAATTAGGGTCATTACTTGTACTCAATTCATTCATAGTTCATTCATTCCTTGTTTCTTCTCATGGTATCGAGCAGGTTCCCCTGTGGGAACTGTTCCTAGGGCCCACCGTTTTTTTTTTTTTTTTCCTGCCCGGAGCGCACTCAGCCCCTGCCCGAGTCGCGCTCCCCTCTCTCGCGCCGCCCTAGCGGCCCCTTAGCGCCGCCCTCGCGGCCCCTTCGAGCCGCCCTCGCGGCTCTATCCGCCGCCCTTCGCGGCCCCTACTCCGCCGCCCTCGCGGCCCCGATCCGCCGCCCTCGCGGCCCCGATCCGCCGCCCTTCGCGGCCCCGATCCGCCGCCCTCGCGGCCCCTTCTCCGCCGCGCTCGCGGCCCCTATCCGCCGCCCTCGCGGCCCCGCTCCGCCGCCCTCGCGGCCCCGATCCGCCGCCCTTCGCGGCCCCGATCCGCCGCCCTCGCGGCCCCGCTCCGCCGCCCTCGCGGCCCCGATCCGCCGCCCTTCGCGGCCCCGATCCGCCGCCCTCGCGGCCCCTACTCCGCCGCCCTCGCGACCCCGATTCGCCGCCCTCGCGGCCCCGATCCGCCGCCCTCGCGGCCCCTTCTCCGCCGCGCTCGCGGCCCCTACTCCGCCGCCCTCGCGGCCCCGATCCGCCGCCTTCGCGGCCCCGATCCGCCGCCCTAGCGGCCTCCGGCCCCTGCTCCTACGGCCCCGGCGCCTGCTCCTACGGCCCCGGCGCCTACTCCTACGGCGCCCACCCGCCGAGCCGCCCAGCAACCGAGCAGCTCAGCCGCTGAGCCACCGAGCCGCCCAGCAACCGAGCCGCCCAGCCGCCGAGCCGCCCAGCAGCCGAGCCGCCCAGCCGCCGAGCCGCCCAGCAGCCGAGCCGCCCAGCAGCCGAGCCGCCCTGCCGCCGATACGCCCAGCAGCCGAGCCGCCCAGCAGCCGAGCCGCCCCGCCGCCGAGCCGCCCAGCCGCCGAGCCGCCGAGCCGCCGAGCTGCCCAGCAGCCGCGCCGCCCAGCCGTCGAGTCGCCGAGCCGCCCTGCAGCCGAGCCGCCCGAACCGCCCTGTCCGGTAAGAGCAGCGCCTCTCTCACAGCACTGCCCTCACCCTACTGTTTGCACTGCTAGTCTACTGCTGTCATGGCTACCCCTAGTGTCCTCGCTTTTGACGCTGAGGGTCGGGCCATTGACTTTGACGTCTGGATAGATGACCTGCAGCTTTTCTTACAGTGCGACAGAGCAGACGTCCTCTCCCTCTTTGACCTCACTTCTGGTGCCTCTCCTGCCCCCGCTGCTGATGCTGACGCCACTGTTCGCTCACAGTGGGCCACGCGCGATGCTGCTGCACGTCTTGCGGTGCGTCGCCACTTACCTACCTCTGAGCGTGCGCACTTTAGCCAGTACAAGAGTGCTCAGACCTTGTACGACGCTGTAGTTGCACGCTACTCCTCCCCTGCCACTGCTGCACTGAGCCGCCTCATGCTACCGTACCTCTTCCCTGACCTTGCTGCCTTTCCCACAGTCGCTGACCTCATTACGCACCTCCGCACTAGTGACACTCGCTACCGCGCTGCGCTTCCTGCTGAGTTCTGCGCCAAGAACCCCCCCCCCATGTACATCACCCTCTACTACATAGTCACCCGTCTCCCTGACTCCCTTCGCGTAGTCAGGGACCACTTCCTCTCGGTTTGTCCCACCACTCTCACCGTTGACCTCCTCGAGAAGGCCCTCCTAGCAGCAGAAAAGAGCATAGTCGCTGTAGGAGCCTCTCGTGGTGACCCTCGCACCCCCATCTTTGAGGGGTGTTCCCCCTCCCCTCTTTTGCCCTCTGTTGCCTCTGCTGTTGCGGCCGACCTCGCTGGTTTGGAGTCGGTTGGGGCAGCGTCTACCCCTAGCGGGAGACGCCGCCCTGGCAGGGGCAAGGGGGGCAGGGGCGCTGGAGGAGCTAGCGGGGGCGGTGGAGGCGGCAGTGGAGGCGGTGGAGGAGGTGGGGGTGGCGGTGGGGGTGGTGGCGGGGGTGGAGGTGTAGGTGGCGGCAGTGGAGGCGCGGTCGGCAGCGGCGGTGGCGGAGGGAGCGGAGGTGGCGGCGGTGGAGGAGGAGGCGGCGGAGGAGGTGGGGCTGGTCGGGGTGGCGCTGCGCAGAGGGTCAGCTCTGGTGGTGGTCAGCGCCAGCAGCAGCAGCAGCAGCAGCAGCGCACTCGTGACGTCCCCTCCCCTCAGCAGCTCCGTGAGTGGTACACTGCACGCCAGAGGGGTGGGGGTACTGGTCCGTGCACCTACGTCCTGCGCACCGGCGACCGCGCGGGTGAGCAGTGCGGGGGTGCGCACTCCACCCAGCGCTGCTTTGGCCGCCTGACGGACGCTTGGCGTCACCAGTTCCCTGAGGCCACTGAGATCCCCCACTGGGGTGAGCTGTCTAGGGCGGGTGTAGCTGTCTTTGACCTTGACTTTGATGCTATTCTTGCTGCCATGTATACTGTGACTATTAGTGATGAGGGTGACTGTTACCGGTGTTTTCCGCCCGACCCGGGCATTGAGACTGCTGCTCTAGGTACTGGTGAGGCTGCTGCTCTAGGTGCTAGCGAGGCTGCTGCTCTAGGTGCGTCTGCTCCCTCAGGTGCTGGTGAGTCTGCTCTCTCAGGTTCTGCGTCGGCTTCGGCCTCCCACACCTTCACCCTTGACTCGGGGGCTTCTCGCTCCTTCTTTCGAGACCGCACCACACTCACGCCGCTTGGCCGGCCAGTTGCGGTCTCTCTGGCAGACCCCTCTGGGGGTCCTGTCCTTGCTCACTTCTCCACTGTCCTCCCGTGTCCGGCGGCCCCCTCTGGCACCCTGTCTGGTCTTTACCTCCCCTCGTTCTCTACGAACTTGGTGAGTGGTGCTGACCTACAGGATGCGGGGGTTCACCAGTTCAATCCTGCGAGTCAGCGGGTGACCCACTGCACGGACGCTCGGACAGGCCGACACCTGGCCACGTTTACACGTCGGCCAGGGTCGAGCCTATACACACTGACCACTGCGTCTCCTCCAGTCCCTGCGTCTGGTCAGGTAGCTGCGTCGGGTCAGGTGTTTGCTGCAGCGTCCAGGTCTGGTCCTGAGTCTGCCCCCTGCTCGTGTCGCCTCCTGTCTCACGAGACTCTCCTCTGGCACCACCGCCTTGGTCACCCCTCCCTGCTTCGTCTCCGGAGCATGGCCTCCCGTGTCCTTGTCTCTGGTCTTCCCCGGTCCCTCCCTCCCCTTCCTCCGGGGCCTGGCCCTACCTGCGTCCCCTGTGTCGAGGGACGGCAGCGGGCTACCCCTCACTCCTCCCAGTTTCCTCCGACAGAGGCCCCGCTGCAGACGCTTCACATGGACGTGTGGGGCCCGGCCCGCGTCCGTGGACAGGGTCACGAGCGCTACTTCCTGCTGGTGGTTGACGACTACTCGCGTTACACCACAGTCTTCCCCTTGCGCAGCAAGGGTGATGTCACTGAGGTGTTGATCGACTGGATCTGCGCAGCTCGTCTCCAGCTCAGGCGGAGCTTCGGCTCGGACTTTCCTGTTCTGCGTCTGCACTCTGACAGAGGCGGAGAGTTCTCCTCTGGCCTTCTGCGAGCCTACTGTCGTGCACGAGGCATCCGCCAGACCTTCACGCTTCCGGACTCTCCACAGCAAAATGGGATTGCTGAGCGCCGCATTGGCATGGTCATGGACGTCGCCCGTACGTCCATGATGCATGCGGCTGCCCC